TCCCTAAAATCGTGCTTGAAAAGGGAAAGCAAGAATCTCAATACCAGTGACAAGATGGGAAGCTAGCTGCCAAACTAAACTATTTTACTGGGCATATACCCATCCCAGGCAATGCTGGATGCAACCTGAACCACAATGTAAAGAAGTGATCAGGAAAACATTCATGAATATGCTTTTTGGAAGGAACAACCCAGCAAAAGTACAATTCTCTGAAGTCTTCCTGTTCAGGTGCCAAACAGAATCAAACATGAAACCTCCACTAACACATTGGAACTGTCTTGTGAGGTTTGCCTTGCTGACAGGACACAGCTCCACCATGCACAAGGGAACAGAATTATGCCCACAGCCACCAGCACTATAGATGAGACAGCAACCAACACTGTCCTTCATAAGCCTTTTATAACTTATTTAAACAGTTTCAGAGAAAGTTCCATTTTACTTACCCCCAACCACAAACAAACTTTATCTGTAGGAGGAACTGAAGCTTTGCAGTAGAGATTATCTGCCAATAAAAATCTGGTTTCCATTGGATTTGTGGAATCCTTAAGACAAATAATAAAACTTAAAATTGCTATTTTTACTGGAAACTTAGGTCAAAGACATAAAACTTACAGTAAAGAGCACACTTTTCTGCTTTTTGCTATTGATACAGCATAAACTTCACCTCCATAAAATCTTACTTCAACATTCAAGGTAGAGCTTCAAGAATAAAGTATTTTTAAAAGATATATTTAAAAATTACATACAAATCCCTATAAAGAATAGGGATGAAGTCAAAGCTTAGCTGCCATCTATACACTATTAAAAGTGAAGCTTGCATTAGAAACATATATATTTTTTAACTAGCTTTCAAAAAGTACTACATACCTTTAAAAACAATTCTGTTATTTATAAAGGCATATTAAGTGTGCTCTCCAAAACATTTCTTGCAATGTGTTCTGTTAGGGTGGAAAGGTAGTTAGCTTTTCTCATACTCATTAGATATTCAAAATAGTTTACCTTTTTCTTCTGCATGTGTTTTAAAATTTCTAATGTCTGTTTAATTTCAGGAATCTGACTTTTTAGCCTGTGAATTAACAACAGTCATAATTTATTATTTTACAGAGACACAAAGTTTCCTAAACAAGTGATCAGTTTTATTACACGATCCAACCTCCATTTTAAAGCTTGCAACTCGTAACATCTTTCCAGACTTACGAATGCAGATTTGCAAGATACAGCATGTAAAGACATTTCAGCTCCAGCTTCACCTGCCTCTCACCATAGGGAGGCTCAGTAGTTTCCTGAAGCAGAGCAACACACACAGCTTTCTAACTGAACAGACACACATGAATAGTAACAGATACCTATTTGCTCCACTGGCATATTTTGGCATATTTCTGATCTCTCTGCAGGGAAACCTCAGCAGAAATACAGATAAAAAACATTGTGTGAAAAACAAAGCAAGTGTGTTTCTTCTGAGGTGCACAAACTATTCTAACAGTTTAGAGCTCCAAGACTGGGGGGCCCTGTTAAAACAAAAGCTCTATCCAGAGTTGGAAGTGTCCCCCTCCACCTGCTCCCCAGCCCTGAGTCACCAGGATCCCCACTGCCCTTCAGGCTGCCCTCTCCTGCAGCCAGCAGGCTCACACAAGCCTCTGGGTGCCAGACAGAAGGGATATTTGTCCATCAAAGAAGATTAATCTAAATAAAATATTACTTGAAGCTTTGATTTTAGCTTTTAAAAATGCACTTCTTGCCTGGCTTCAGATGAAGACTGAAGCTACTGAAGAGAGATGAGATTATTAAACCATAAGTTACAGCCTGATACAGTAGTCACTTGACAAAAACATTTTCTTATTTACATTAGGCTGACAAAATTAAGGGACTGTGGCAGTACTTTTCAGCCTTAAAGACTAAGGACCATTTCAGCAATGCTATAAATTGTTTTGCATGTGATTCTGAAAAAGAGGAAAAAAATAAAAAGCTGGGCTTTCCTGAAAGTACTGTAAATACTACTTTTGAAATACTTATTTTAAATATACTTTTTTATATATAAATAACTGTGCTAAACATTTCCCAGTTCTGCAAAAGTTATGACTTACCTCCTTTTCTTTTGAGCAAGATTAAGTTCCAAAAATTTATACTTCTGATACTGCTCATCCAACTTCTTAAGAACTACATCTGCTGTCTCATTTCCAGGCTGTTTCATAAAAGAATCTACATCTTCCTTTAGGGGGAGAAAGAAACCCTCAGTGTTAGAAGAGTTGTACAGAAATCCTAGATACAGTCATGCTATCATTGTACTGCAGCTGAGTCTGGAGGGATTTTTGTATGTGACCAAAATTCTTTATTTCTGGGGTGAAGTACAAAATAGTTTTGTTTCCTTCCTCAGTCACCTTTTCACTTCCCCCTCCCCCCCTTTTTGGTAGGGAACTACAGAACAGCTGCAAGGATTATTTTATACCCATATTTGCAAGTATCTCGTTAGAGATGCTTCTGGTCCTGGCCAGTGTCAAGTGACACCTGACAGGGATGGACATCCTCAGAGCATAGGTGGACTTTGGTTTCCTATCTGTAAAGTAAGGGTCACTGTGGCTAATCAGATTACGAGCTATTCAGGATAAGACTGGTGAAGGAAAAGAATCATGGCCTGATCAACCATGTTGTGTCAGAGCAAGAGGAAAGGGGGGAAAACTGCAGTGTCACTCAGGCAGGCTTTATGGCAGTGACAAGCTTATCTTTGAAAGCTGTTCTGATAGTCAGCAGCAAGAAGCCAGGGAAACCTCAAAAGAACAATTCCAGCCAGTCCTACTGTCAACTGGAAAAGAAGCCAGAGAAGACAGGCCTGAGCAGGTGAGGATGCTGATCCCTGAGTGACTCTTTCAGGAAGTGGTTCATCTGCCTGCAGCCAACCTTCTCACCTCATGAAAGGTACATCAGGCCTGAGAACAACCACGTGTTTCTGACCTTTGCAACATTTACTGATGTATAATTCAAGATGACCACACTTGTCCACTGAGGTAGTTCTGTCCCTGTTTATACAGCTCTGGAAGATCTGATGAGAGCCTACAAGAGGCCTCTTCAGCTTCTCCTTTTTACTAGGTGCTTCCATTCCAGTAGTTCCACATCGAAAAAGACTATAACACACTACTAAAGTAAGATCAGACATACAGCTGTTTCCCTTCGTGTCTCCTAAGATAAAGAAACTTGCTGTGAAATTACTGAACCTGATAAGAAGTCACCCACCTTCCTTATCATTTGGGAAATCTGCAGCAGAAATACAAACTCCACAACAGACTACAGCAGGTGGCATGATCTAGGTGGTACAACAGCATTCAAGAGACCCCATTTCAGACCAACTGCCCGAGGAACACATTAAGCTACCCTGCCAACAGCAGAAGAAGAAGCATTCCTGCCTCCTGAAGAACCTTGTAGAGAAGCTGTAACCAAAAAACCCAAGGATTATATTCAGGCAAGTGTTGTACATGTGAGGCCTGAGTATGTTCTCAAATTAAACTAACTCTTGTGGAAGCTGTTCTGCTTGTGTAACTCACTCAAGGGGGAACGAAAAAGCAGGTGGGCAGCAGCTGACCCCACACACTGCCCAGCAGCCCACCTCTGCCTCAGTACAGAGAGATGAGACAGAACCCAAGTCCTCCTGAAACAAATATGCTGAGAAATTAGTCGAGGCCCTCTCTACTGGTGATCTCCTCCCACTACATAATGACCCAGCCCAAGGCAAGCTCAGATTTACCACTTGGGTTTTCCAGCTGCAACTTCCAAGTCCTGCTGGTTGGGTTTTTGGCCCATCTGACTCAACTGCAAGGCTGAGGCATGGTCACTTCTTTGAGCCTCAACAGAAGAGCTTTGCAGCAGAGCTGGGTGTCAATGCACTTAGGACACCTGCTTCCTGATGCATCACACAGCATCTAAACTGCAGAATTACCTTACAGGTTCTCCAAAGACCTGACAAAATTCATCCCTATCTTTTAAGGAAGAAAATCCACTGGCAAAACACCACTGTTGTATACCTAAAGATAACACAGTCTTTGCAAATGTCAAGCCAAGCCACACAAACACTGTAAAAGCCCAGAAACAGAGCAAGATGGCACATGCCCATGTTCATCTTTTGGGTGATGACCCAAATAAACAGCTGCAGGCACTCTGCTTCTGCAGAGAGTTATCATCACCTACAGGCAGATACAGAGAAGATGACAAAAGAGACACATTTTCAGATTTGCATCTCCCGTCCTCCCCCTCACACATGCGCTAAGGAAAGCAGAATAAGAAGGGCATCTTATGTGGAAACATCTGGACAGCAGCTCAAAAGAAAACAGAGTTGAAAGTTCTATTTGGAGTGGTTCTGAAACTCCTAAGAAACCCTGAGTTACTGCTGAACGTCGCTGAAAATATGGAAGGACACACAAGTGCACAGATCAGTGCCTAAGAAAAGGTACCCACCATAAACTGTTTGGAGAGCCTCTATTGAGTCAAGACATTTAAAGAAAACACCTCTGAAGATAAGATTCACAGTAAAGTGCCCATGCAGCATGTGGTGGGGGGAGGTCAAGCAAGTAATCAGCAAGTTTTTATCATCATGGTGGTATGCAATGTTTCTGAAATTGAAACTTATTTTCTGGGAAAAAAACAACAACCTGTACTAAAACACCCTCAAGATACTGGTATTTTCACTTTGTGGAGTAGAATAGAAACTTCTAGCCTGTTTATTTTGAATAAAATAAAGTCTATCTTAACATCTGCATTCGAGTACTCATCACTGAGGATCTTGTCTATAGAGACACCTCTGTTTGATCAGGGCACCTTTCAAAACTGAGAATTAGTTTTCAAAACTGGGAATGGGTTTTAGAGCCAGACAAAAGCTTCTGAAGAACTGAAGCAAAGCACAGAGCTAAAGCCACTGCCCCCAGCACTCTCCCAGGTCACAGGGTAGAGCACAGGAGACACTTCAGACACAAGTATCAAAAAGTAACAACATGGAACCAAACATGAGTAGTGAGCAGAATTCAGATGAGAGGTGTGACAGACACCCTCAAGGCTTTGCTGCAGCTGGTTATCCGCTCCCTGCTAGGGTGGCTACCTCCATTGTAGAGTCAGCCCAGACCATGAGTTCTCTGTCACAATGACCGAGGTAGCTGAAGCCATGGCCCCTTCTTTTCACTTGTGTCCACATTATTCTCCCATGAGGGGGTGGGAGGCAGCTGGCTGCAGGCAGCAGTGGTTTTACATCCCAGTCGGATTTGCCAGACACCACCAACAGTTAAAGAACCTTAAAGAAAAAGCAGGATCTGGATGCACTGAAAGGCAGTGTACTGCCCCTGCTGGCTCAGGACCTGCGCCCTAGCAAGACACAGGTAGACGAGCATGAAACTTAGGAACAGCAAAATGCAAGTGAAGCAAACTTATTTCTATAAGAGCCATCATACCCAACCAGTCCAAACACCTCTGGTAAAGAGATCCAAGATAGATCTGAGAAATACAGACTTTCAAAGTCCAAGAAAATCTCAGTAATAAAGCAGCACCACAAACAAAGCATTCAGGGCAGACATCTGATGTCTCCAGATGACACCAAGGCAGGCAAGCATAGCCAGTCTGATCGATACTTATTGATCAAACAAAACAAAGCAGCCATCAAGACAGCCCACCAAGGGCTAGCTTACAGCAAACAGTGAGCAACAGATAATTCTGACATTACATCACTGTGTAAGGTGATGAATTCTTTTCAATCAGCCAACCATTACTAAATGCTTAGTACATCACTTTCTAAAGTCAGACAAACAAGTTCAGCCTGTTTTCCAAAAGACAGGTTTTTTTCTTTGGAGATCTCAGGAAACCCAGCTGGACACCACAGCCCTTTCTGAAGGATGACTCTGCTCAGCACTCAGGAACGGTCTTATGCCAGGAGGTGCAGGGAGAGGGGCTGGAGGGCAGCGTGGCGGTGTCTGAGGGGGCCGTTGTGCTCAGGGCAGGACAACCCGGCACAAGGACCCGCGGCCTGTTATGTAGGACAGGAGGGTTCACCCATAACACGCTCCTCACTGGCCTGCCAGCCGGCCAGTGAAGAAACACAATAACGCTCAAAACCAGGGGTTTCAGTTTGCTGCAAAGCGTATTAACACTTGATACCGCCCCGGCAGAACCGGAATCAGCCGCTGTCCCCGTCAAGCCCTCAGGTTCGGAGCGAGGAGCTGCGGTGCGGGGCTGGGCCCGCGGGACCCACCTTGGCGACCAGGCGGGGAGGGCGCCACGGCTCCCCCGCCCCGGC